GTCAATTCGATCTCACTGTATTTCTTTGGGCAGCTTTTAAAAGTTAAAACTGGAAGCGTAATACACACAAATAATGTAACACTATGTCGTATTTACTTAACGTAGGGCAGTTGCACTATATCCTAGGGGAGGGCATAATTATTAATTAATAGGCATTATAGGCCAGAGGAAATTTTGCGCTCCTTCATACCTGCACCCGAGGGCAACTGCCCCCCTTTTGCTACACCACTGGATATTAGTAATGGATAGTGTGCAGAAGTCAAAAAAGGTAGAGATGTTTCTGGATGTTTATTAATTTTGGAGTAATGTGTTTTAATTAGTAAGGCTTCTGCTATTGTTTTTTCTTTTTGTTGGGTTCATGTTGGAATACAGAGACATTGTGTTTTGAAAATGTGTGGTGATTGGATTGCATACAGTAATTTATGTGTAAGGGGTTTTTTTGATGTTCTTTTACTCTTGTGTTTAGTTTACATCCAGTTTAATAATGGCTGGAGACGGCTTGAATGGATAATGAAGAAAAACTTTAATATAACAGCAAATGTACAACGTTTCGACAAGGTTTTGTCATCATCCAGTTTCACCTATATAAAAATCAGAACAGTTGTTACATTGTATTTTATCTACGATTCTTGGTTATGGAGATCTGATGTAAAGCTTTTTTTACATTTGTTTGGTTTTTGTTCCTGAAGTGAACACAGATCTTGTATGGTTATTTATGTTGTATTTGTGTATTAATCTTTGCCATATTTTTTTAAGGAAAATGTTTAGGTTATCAATTAATAAAATTGTGCCAGTGATTATTCTATAAGGTTGTTTATGTGTATTGTTGTTTTCAGTGGTCTTGAGTTGATCAGGGTTATAATTTACTCTGTCTTGAAACGTGTATATTATTTAGTGAATTGTTGTAATGGGGATCTTGTTAGGGCCTGTAAAACATTTATTTAAGTGCGTAATTCATTCATCAATGTTATCACTGCTGAAAATCGTGTAGACAAAAAATATTAGACCTTTTAATGTGTTTAGTTTTTGGTGTACTGTGTGATTGGAAAGCAGCCAAATCATGTATAGTTGCTGGTGTTTAGTATTAAGCATAAAACTACTTACTTAAGATATTCATTATTCAGCTTATCAATCCCTTTCTTCAGAAGTGGAGCTTCTTTGTGGTTTTTACCAATGAATGTTTGTGCTTGTTGACTAAATTTTTTTATTGTTTCTCCCTGCGAAGCAATCTGTGACTCCAACAAGCTGTGTTTCTGCAAAAAGTCTTCAACCGATAAAAGATGGCTGCCACAGTCTTCAGAGTAGAGATTAGCCTTTAAAAAATAAGTATGTATATAAGGCAATATGCATCAACATACATCAGCCATATATAGAAAAAGTTATTTTTAAAACCTAAGGCATGACATAGTCACAGAAATTTGTGTACAAAACTTTATCCAACATGGTTAATATCTACAGAATCCTTACTCAATTCTGCCACTAATGTCAAAAGAATCCTTACTCCAGTCTCTTACTAAGACTACAGAATCCTTACTCCATTCTGTCCATAATGTTTACAGAGTCTTTACTCCATTCTGTCCATAACTGTCTACAGAATCCTTACTCCATTCTGTCCATAACTGTCTACAGAATCCTTACTCCGTTCTGTCATTACTGTCTATAGAATCCTTACTCAGTTCTGTCATTACTGTCTACAAAATCCTTACTCAGTTCTGTCATTACTGTCTACAGAATCCTTACTCAGTTCTGTCATTACTGTCTACAGAATCCTTACTCCATTCTGTCATTACTGTCTACAGAATCCTTACTCCATTCTGTCATTACTGTCTACAGAATCCTTACTCCATTCTGTCATTACTGTCTACAGACTTCTTACTCCATTCTGTCATTACTGTCTACAGAATCCTTACTCCATTCTGTCATTACTGTCTACAGAATCCTTACTCAATTCTGTCATTATTGTCTACAGAATCCTTACTTAATTCTGTCATTACTTTCTACAGAATCCTTACTCCAGTCTGTGAGGTGTACAATTAAAATTAATAAACTAGCAATTCGTTTTTGCTTTGTAATTTATGTACAAGATAGGTTTATTACAAATCCAACATTGTTTACAGTGATAATATTTATAAAAAATATAAAGCTGATTGAAAGCTCATGCTGCAAACCTCCAAGTTATTTATCTCAGCACTGACTGCATCAATCTCACGAAGCATGTTCATTAAGTTGTTGGACTCTGTCAATGCAAGTTTGTGCTTCTTTAAAAGACTCAACAAGTTCTGCCATTTTTCCAAAATTTCTTGTTCCCTATTAGTAAAGAAAAATAATGAAATTACATTATTTTATCTTGTAAACAACAATTAAATACATATATTATGAGTTTACTTCTATAAAACTTACAGTAATCACCATCAAAAACTAACTTCAGGAAAGATCAGGTACAAAATGAATAGTTTTAACTAGCATAAACATGGGTAAAGTTCAAGTGTGGTGAAATGAAATGTAACAGGGGTCCTATAAAACATTATACAGCTTCTTCTTAAAACATATATACAATTATCCTAATGTTTTTTTGCACAAATATTTAATCCTTATAAAGTTTTCTCCTCTTATATAATCATTATATTATTCTACATACATATCTATAATAATAAAAGGGCATGTCTTTGTGTCTGTGTTTGCTCATCTTTTTAATGAGGAAAGCTACCAACAAACCACATAGAAAAGAAGAGGTTCCTCATATTACAAATAGAAATCACATAGAGACAGACAGACACTCAAGTGTACACATGCATGGTGTGCACCTGGGTATTATTCTTATCCACGTACATGCACATATTTTTAATGAGGCAACATAGCAAAAATCCAGGTAGAAAGGAATATGACCACCATAGCTCCAAGAGAAAAGAACCTAGAAACCTGAAATTTTGCACCCATAGTAAGTGGACCCTGAGGGTGTGGACCTGGGTATTATTACTTATCCATACATGAATGCTCATCCTTTTACTGAGGCAAGCTAGAGAAAAACCATATAGAAAAGAAGTGATTCCTTATATTACAAATAGAAATCACAGACAGACAGACAGACACTCATGCATGTGTGCATCTTTTTATGAGGCAAGCTAGGGAAAAACCACATAAAAAAGAAGTGTGAATACTGTTACCAAGGTTTTGATATATGAATGAAATTCTCTGAGGTACTATCAAGTCAAGAATAATCAACAACATCAGTAGAGACTTTTCAGCGTACCAGCAATATCTTACTAGTTGCCAAGTCAGTGAATATTATTTCTCTCAACAATAGCAGAATCAAATTTTTGTGTAAAAGTGACAGTTTTTGTTTTGTTTTTTCAAAACAGTGATTATACTGTTCCTTTTAACAATATCAGTACTACTTTTTGGTGCATCAATGACACTTTTTTAGTTATCTAATAATGACTATAGTTTATCTTAATAGCATTCAGTACAAATTTTTGATTTATCAATAGCATTTTAGCTTTGGTTACAAAATCAGTGAACACTCTTTTTCTCAACATCACAATGGGGTGAATAAGTTGGTCATTCAGAATCTATGCTGTCAAATTAATTGTATCAAACATTATTTAATGATGTATTTTCTTATATTACAAATAGAAATCACAGACAGACACGTATGTGTGTGCACAAACATGTCTGTGTGACTGCCATAGCTCCAAGAGGAACAAACATAGAAACCTGAAATTTTGCACCCATACAAAGTGAACCCTGAAAGTGTGCAACTGGGTATTAATACTTATCCACATGTGTGCGCATCTTTTTATGAGGCAAGCTAGCAAAAGGTCACATAGAAAAGAAGTAGTTCCTTATATTACAAATAGAAATCAAAGACAGACACGCACATGTATGCATGTGCACATACGTATCTGTATATGCGTGACCAACATAGCTCCAAGTGGAAAGAACATAGAAACCTGAAATTTTGCACCTATACAAAGTGAACCCTGGATATTACTTATCTTACCAATGAGGCAAGCTAGCAAAAAACCACATAGAAAAAAAGTGGTTGCTTATATAACTTCTAATATATAGAAAAGGCAGTGCATTTTGGAAACAATGCATTCCAACAATGGTTTTTATGTTATGTTGCTTAGCAGCAAAAGTATATAGGTTATAATTTTATGCGGAATTAGGTTCAGAATACACACATTAACAACCTAATAACCCAAGCAAAGCCAGGTAATTTTGCTAGTATGTATGTAAATACATGACAAAATTCCTTTTCTAAGTAACATAATTAATGTGAAGTCCTACATTAATCATTTCAAAGCTGTACTCAAGAACATAACCATTAACTTTTTAAATAATAATAAAATAAGAGAAAAATACAGAAATAATATTTCTTGCTTACAGATCACTAATTATAGTATTTAATCAAAAAATTGCTAAATTCTTTCTTAATAAACCCTGAAGTCTATTAATGAATTGAAAGTCATTTGTTTTCTTGGTCTCAAAACTAAGAGCAGTTGAATAACTTGTTCACACCTTCATATTTACAGAATGGGTCAAATATGAGTAATGTTTCAGCAGATTATAAATGAGATGTCTGCATGATAATCTGTGTTTATTAAGACAAACTTTAAGATCCATTACCAGAGTAGTCATCAGTATTCTGCTGCAGTTAATCAAGAGCTATTCAATTATTAAATCTCAAGCCTGATTTTTAATAAATATAGTTGAACATGTACATAAAAGTTATATTCGTAAACATGTTCTACATTTTAAAGAATAGATGACTAACCTTTTCTTGATCCTATCTTTTGAATGATAATTCTCCCTCACAAGTTCATCTGCCATAACAGTCAGGTTCTCAAACCTTTCCTCCTTAAAACATATGAAACATAACAAATGAACTTTTCTTTACAAAGTTTCATTGTTATTACTTATGTACAAACTCACATTTATTAAGCGAACAATGTCACACACTTCACATGAAATATATGCAACAACATTTAAAGTGTTAGAATCATATTTTAAAATTTGGAAAGACCAAATCCTGTTTATAAAATCATGCAAAAAATAAAACAAATCATCCCTAATCAAAAAAGTTTTTGATGTCAAAATATTAAATTATGGATATCTATATACTAAAAATTATAGAAAAATAACATAATCATTAGAAATAAATGTTTTTGACATGGAATGCTTGCTTAAAATCAGAAATAACAAAGAATAGTTAGTACTAGTATAAAATACCCAGACTCTGCTGCAAGATTCTAAGGTTCTCACATCATTCACAAAGGCCTCAATGTATCAGTCAAGCATCTCCATTATCTTAATTATTTATATAGCTTCTCCAATGTGCCAATTTTTCAATTGATTTGTCTGTTGCCATTTCCTGAACTTAATTCAGCTCAACTCTTCTTAAAAACAAAGTTTTAATTTAGCTTCTCAGATTAGTTTTTTAATTCCTGTGTTTTATTTGAATTATTTTCATTCTCTGAATTCTCCAATATTCCCCGATTCATATTTTTCTTCTCATTGTTTGTTGCAATTTCCCAAACTTAGTTCAATTAAACTTTTTTAATTCTCAGATTTATATTTTTCTTGCCATGTTTGTGTTGAAAAAGAGTATTTAGCAAAAAACCTACAGTAAGTGAGAATTTCATAGAAAATATGACACTTTTCTATAAACCTTCAGGAAACAGAATTATGGGGATTAAGGGCTATAGGGCAAAAAATTGGCCAAAATGTTTTTGAGTCAAATCTGAAAAATAATACTTGGGTGCAGATTATTACAGAATACCAGTACCATTCTACATAAACTTGAATTGTTAATGTTTGTTTCAAATATTCATGGAAAGTTACGGCTACCTGCAACTGCCATCCCTAATTTTCAACAGATAGACTAGATGGAAGACCACTTCCAACTCTTGAGCTATCCTAATCAAATAAAAGGATTTCACTATATTTTATAATCCACCAGATAGACTAGATGGAAGACCACTTCCAACTCTTGAGCTATCCTAATCAAATAATGGGATTTCACTATATTTTATAATCCACCAGATAGACTAGATGGAAGACCACTTCCAACTCTTGAGCTATCGTAATCAAATAATAGGATTTCACTATATTTTACAATCCACCTATGACCCAAATGTATGGTAAATGGGTTAACTGTCTACTTTGTAACTCCTAGCCCACACTCAGTTCAATTACTTGTCACCAAACAGAGAAGTACACCAATCCACAAGATCTCTCTCTCACTGTAACCAAGACAGAAAAATACAATGATCCGCAAGGTCTCTTTCTCACTGTAACCAAGACAGAGGAATACAGCAATCAATGGGGTCTCTTTCTCACTATTAATGAGACAGTAAACAGATAACTCCATGACATCTCTTTCTCGTTTGTTTGTTTGTAATTAAGCACAAAGCTACACAATGGGCTATCTGTGCTCTGCCCACCAGGGGTATCGAAACCCTGTTTCTAGCGTTGCAAGTCCGCAGACATACAGCTGTGCCACTGGGGGGCCTCTTTCTTGTTATCATTCAGGCAGAGAAATACACTAACCCATGAGGTCGCATTATCATCATAGTCAAGAAGTAAAATTTTGTAAATCTAATTTCATTTCAACCTTTGACCTGCTTTAGTCTTCTTGAATGAGAATGTTCTTCAGAAAACTGGCAGGAAAACATCACTCAGAAGCTAACATGTTTTAAGGCCTAATATGAACTTACTTATTTACCACCTTAATAAAATCTCTAGAATTAGTCAATACAAAATTACTAATTTGAGCTTCAGTTTTTTACACTTTCAGTTGTTTTTACAATACTGTGCATGTTCAACTTTTTGCCATGCCTCTTTTGTTTTCCAGACAAACAACCCCAACATGACAAATTTTCTGGAATTTCATTTTGTTTTCCTTAACCTTACAAAGTTAAAATGAGGTTACAGTGTAATTTACTCTCAAACTACCAATCTGTTCACATACTATTCACTATAAGTGAATCATAATGAGATAGTATTTGTTTTTACATTGTACTGTTTCACTCTTACGTTATTAGGGATCCTGCAAACAACAAAGTCATATGGATAATTGCTGCATAGTTATAAAAATAAGATTAAAAATCATAGGTTCCATAGTGTATTTCTAAGGTTAATAATTAAACAATATAGCCATACTTAAGCAAAACATTTTTTGTGGGGGGCATTCTTCGGGGTTTCTATACTTATTATTTTCATTGTGCATTGACTCAAAAAAAACTTCTTAAAATGCAGTTTTTTAAAACATTTATTTAACCTGAGTTAATAATAATTTATAAAATAAAAGTAACATAAACTTAGAATATTTTAAAGGCTATTATAACTAAATTAAAGTTCATGGTGACTGCTGCCAGACAGTTTTAGAACAGGTGCAGTGGGCCACATATTTACCATGTCTTCTTAATGAATGCATTTTATATGACAATAAGCAAGTGAAAAATAATTCTCAATACTGTGATATATCACAATTAATTAAAGCAATCAATCTGTAGAATACCAGTGGACTTACCCTAGCCAATACATCTGCACTAATTGCCGTTAGTTTCTTCAAAGAAGCATCTGTTTGTGAAAGACTGCTCGATAATTGGGGATCTGAGAGAACTTGGGTCATTTCCTTGACATAGTTGTCACGCAAAATGCTCTGGAAAAGAATAAATGAAAAAAAAACATTTAATACTTTAAGGCATTATTTTTGCATTATGAGTTTCCTAAAAAATCCCTCCTTCTGACCTTCCTTTTTTTTTCTTTAGAAAATAAAATATAATCTTAAAACTAAATTATTCTTAAATAAGACAAAAGCATTATTTTGTAGAACTAGAAAACATTTTTTAAAAAATGTATAATACTGTAATCTAAAAAACAAAATATATATAGTTTCAAAAATTCCCTCATTTTAATCTACCACAGTTCATTACAAGTACAATATAATTGCAAACCAAAACATTCTTATATAAAACAATAAACACTATTATATACAACTAGGTGTTTTTAAACAAAATATGTAAAACTGTAATTTTTTAATAAAAAATATATTGTCTAATTACACAGACCATAAGATAATATTTATTCTAAATTAATTCCCAACAGCAAGTTTTTATTAGACTTGAATTCTTAAATGAAAATAAACAACATAAATGTATACTTAAAGTGTTATTCAAGGTTCTTATGCAACTTTCAAACATTAAAATTTACATTCTCTGAATAACACTACCTATTACCTTTCTATCAAAACGAAAAGCCAAGTTTTCCAGCCTTTTCTGGCGAAGGAGTTCTTCTCGAAGTGCCACCTCTCGCCTGTGTTCTGCTTTCTCCAGTTCATTCCATGCTCGCTCTAAATCATGAACAAGTTTACCCTCTGGTGGCACATATAATGGCTGACCAAGTGCCTTCATTTTAGTCTGTACTGCAAACAACAGGGCTTCAATTTCACTTCTTTCTCGGTACCTGAGATAATAAGATAGACATCTTGAAAAAAATTCAGAAGTAACGTTTTATCCTTTTAATTCCATTATTACAATATTTTATAACATTGGAAATTCAATTAAAACATGTTGTACAAGACACGACAGCTAAATTCCATCAAGCTTACCATATAAAAACTTTAGATACAAACACTTTTATTTCCTCAAGACCTCATTTTCAAGGCCTTGAGCTTGTGTATTAGTTTTCTCTGTAACAGCATTGATCACTTTTCACCACACATTTCCTTTCCTTTACAGTACTTTCAATTATTTCTTTATACTAGCAGATTTTATCCTGCTACAGCTGCATTTCTCTGTTTTTGATACTCAAGAAGCCAAACAGATTGAAGTTACAGAGTGAAAGTTTGCTCCTTAAACAGTATAAAGTTTGTATAAAATATTTATTGTAATTAAAAGTCTTCAGGTGTAATAATTTTTTTTTCAAAAATGTTACAGGCAACTTTAATTTTAATCTTATTATTTGAAATAATACCTGACAGACAGCTATGACATCCCTGAGCAATGGCAAGTATAAACAATCAGCTGAACACCTATTTAACATTTGTGGTAGGACCCTGCAAAGCTTCAGGATTCACAATATCACATTTGATTCATTAAATAGGGATACAATTCAATATTTTTGAATCTACATCACTTCCAGTAGACTTCAGAATTCAGTTTTTAATTCAGTCTATATAATGGAACCTATTTCCTTGTAAGAAAACTTTTGTACCATTCTTCTTCCAGATGTTTAATTTAAGTACATTATATCTTTTGTTTGTAGAAAGATTTACTTTGTCTTTTGTTCTCAGAAAGATTTACTTTTATACTCATTACTAATTGTGTGTAGAAGCACTACACAAATAATGAAACCATTTTCTATGATGTATATACAAGACTGTTTAGTGTAGGCATTATCATTTAATTTATTTTGTGAGTTAATACTTAATGGTTGTTTAGTTTTTAAGACAGGAGTGAAGACAGATTGTTTTAAAAGTGTTAGTTGTGTCAAATTTAATTGCATAATTCTGTACGAGTTGTACATTGTGTTTGCAATTACATTGTTGTTTAGGCTTTACTAATATTGTTAACATCATTTTACTCGAACCTTCAATATTTTTCTCCTTACCTCAACTGAATATTGTTGAATATATATATATATATATCTATAAGTGGCTTGCAAGCACAAGTTAAGAAGTTCAGTAAAGTGAAGTAAAGTAGAGAAAAAGTGCAGTTCAGTCAAAAAAATAGTTAGCAAAAAAACGTGAAGTTAGCTGGTGATATTTTAAAGTGAGTTTCACAGTTTAATAAAGATAAAGAGAATAATTTCTCTTGTTAAAGTTTGTTCTAAAGTAACTGAACCCATCCGTGTGAAGTTTAATGAAAAGGAGACAATTATTTGAAGTTTAGAATACAACTGTGGTAGTGTAAGTGAATTATTTACTGATACTGTGATACGGAGTGAATTCAATAGAATATCATGGCTCAAACCTTGAATATTCTAACCTGCAGCTAAGAACACTAACCACTAGACCATGCCTAACCAATATAAACAAAAGATATTTTAATTTATATAATTATTTTTTAAAAACTCAGAATTTTTAAAAAACGATTATTTCATTCACAATTCTATAAAAATGAGATTCTTTCCAGTCTCCAAATTACTAAAATACAATAACTTACTGTACAGGATAAAAAGTGGTAAAAACCCCGATGAAACTGGAAAACAATCTCTTACACTCTACATGTTTCGACGTATACTATTGCGTCATCCTCATATAATTGCAATATATAATTTTTGTTTAAAATGTCAAACATAAAACATACTTTGGTGGTTTCTCAACTGTTCTGTATTCCTTGAACTTTAGAAGTTCCCTCTGGATTCCTTCCATAGAATTAGGAAACTTTCTATCATCCAGTTCACGAATCTTATTTCTGATCCAGTCAAGTAAAGTTGTTGTGAATTGTTCATAGTCTTTTTTAAGCTTATCAGCATCCATCATTTGTCCTACAATCTGAAATCAAAATAGAACAAGTTTCAATCTAACCACTTTTGTTTTACTAGCTCACACAAGACAAAGCATTGGCACTGCAAGAAAACTTTTGTTTCTTGTATCTAAACTTTTAGTATTTACTATTTAGAGCACATTTACCCTGAAAACAAACCTTAAATGTGTTATTTGACAGTAAGAAGGCAAAACAACAAACAAACGTTACTATAAGGTTAAAGATGATATCATGCAGTTTAAAACTTAAACAAAACACACTTCACGAGTGTTCAAGGTGTGAGTTTATTTAGCTGACTTTAACTCAAACACTGAAATTATATCAGAAAACACTAAGATCTGTAAAAATCAAAGTTCACTACCAACTTTTAGCACAATTTGAATGAATTTCATCTAACGCTGCCAGAGCCACAGCCATTTCAAATTTTTACCACCTTTTTTGGTTTTATTTTTCTATTTAATAGCATTTAAAGCATGTGTTTTTTCATAATTAGCCCTAAACTGTGACTTAGAAATTATATGAAATTTAATTAATTTACATGTCCACAATGTTATGACATACAAGTATTTAGTTTATTAGAAAAGATTCTTAATTTTTTCGGCTTTAATACTTAGTTACTGAAATCAAATATCTCAACCTTAAACCTATTGCAATATATTTTATTAGTTTCTTCTCAATATTTTCATATCATTGTGTAATATATTTTATGCCATCTATCAGTACAAAAAATTTTTAACTGTTCATATTAGGAAATAATCACTTACCCATATATCTACTGACACTTAAACATGTATGCACTACAGTCTCAAAAACCTTCTCACATATATCTAAACAGATATTTACTGTAGTCCAAAGAGCTATTTCATGCAAACCTTCTGACACTTATCTAAACAGATATTTATAATTGTCCAAAGAGCTATTTCCCACAAACCTTCTGACACTTATCTAAACAGATATTTACAATTGTCCAAAGAGCTATTTCCCACAAACCTTCTGACACTTATCTAAACAAATATTTATAAATGTCCAAAGAGCTATTTCACACAAACCTTCTGACACTTATCTAAACAGATATTTACAATTGTCCAAAGAGCTATTTCATGGAAACCTTCTGATACTTATCTAAACAGATATTTACTGTAGTCCAAGGAACTATTTCATACCAACCTTCTGACACTTATATAAACAGATATTTACAATTGTCCAAAGAGCTATTTCATACCAACCTTCTGACACTTATCTAAACAGATATTTACTGTAGTCCAAGGAACTATTTCATACCAACCTTCTGACACTTATATAAACAGATATTTACAATTGTCCAAAGAGCTATTTCATACCAACCTTCTGACACTTATCTAAACAGATATTTGCTGTAGTCTGAAGAACTACCCAATACTTACTCAAAGAGACATTTACACTATTATTATAAAATTTATGACATCTATTTACCTAGTTAATTACTACAGTTTTAAGAATCAATAAAAAGTATTTAAAATTGAGAAAAGAAAAATTCTTAACTGCTCAATCTGGTGATGAAGTCATAAGTTTAGTAAAAAAATCAACTGATAACTGTACATATTCCAATAATATTTATAGAATCTGAAAACTCACATTTGCTATTCTTCTACCTCCCTTCAGTTCGCTTTTCATCTTTGCAAACGTGTGATAATAAGAAGCCACATATGTTATAATCGACTTCTCATCTGGTCTTGTAATATCCACGTCTAGAAGAAATTTGAACTGCTACATGAACATATTTTAACTAGAAATACTAGAAAAATTCAATTAATTATCAATCATTTCTGATCAAAGCAACCTTCCTACACAGAATTATAAATAACCTAATAATTAGTGTAGCTACTTTAACAAAAGCATAAAATATTATATCTAACTGCAACTAAAACATTAGTGACCGACAAAAACATATTTATATATCTTTTCACAACTGATTACTTGATGGTAAAGAAAACAAGAAGGTAGTTAACAAAAGATTTTTACACAATCTGCAAAATAACATTACTGAATTTTACAGATCAAATTTCAAAATTTCAGAATATTATGTCAACAAGAGGGATATCTTATCTGCCCAGATAATGTCCATATTTAGAAAAAAGTTAAAATCTTAAAATATTTGTCTGCTTGAATTATAAGAACCATGTAATTAAGTTATTCTTTACTAAGATATAGTGTTATCTACAGCTGTGAAACTTTATTAATATGTTATAACAACTTCATACAGTTTTTTGTATGAGTGGTAAATGATGAATGAATTTTTCAAGTAATTCATAAACATTTAAAAAATTTACATTCAGAGATTTAAAAACTGTAGAATTATTCTACAAAGAACTGAAATGAAATAAAAACAAGGGAAAATGAACTTATAAAAACCAAGGTTTTATAAATAATATACTAAAATAATAATAATATAAACATTCTTAAAATATTTGTAACATAATACAATCCATCAGAACTTGTACTATTAAGTCCCAATTATATCAAAACCAAAACCTAAAGAAAATACAATGAAATGCACTTTTAGATACTCATTTATTTCTTCAGCCCAAAGTAACTGTTCTAATAAAATAAACATTACTCATATTTCAATCAAATGCCACAGACACTTTACCTTCAGCATCAAGAAGGCGAGGTATACCAAGTTCCTTCTCCGCAACATCAAAAGCATTGTTGAGACTATCGATGTGGTTATTTGGATTTAAGCCATCGTAATTTATCAGGTCTGGACGATGAGCATGTATCAACGCATTGAATCCGAGGCCATTTCTCCAGCTCCGAGTGAAATCTTGAATGTTGACATGTGGATAACTGCCAAATTACAGGGAAATATAAATAAGAACTGTTGCAAACTCTTACAAGTATTTCTCATGCTGTCAGTTGAAAACAAACTGTAATTTAAAAAAATTTACAACACAGTTTTACTTAGCAATTTACTAAAAGTGCAATTGTGTCGAAATTTTCAAAACTTACATAATTCATTTCATGAGAATTATCAGCAATAAATATACAAGGACAAAGAATATCTAAACTCATGTTCAAGATTGTTGTTTTTTAATTTCCAAACACAATATATTTTCAAAGATGTCCAGTAGATGGCGATAATAGTATCACAAATTAATTAGTCCTTGAGGTATACAAATGTTCTGTCTTAAAGCACAAAGTATGATCTACTTGTACAATATCATTCTATAAATTTGACATATCATCAGTGTTGACGACTTCAATAAAATTAATCATACTGAGACAGCAGTTCAAGCAAAACTTCATGTCATTATTACTTAGCAATTCTGCTTATTTAAGGAATCCATACAAATAACATTACTAACCATACTGAGGATAGATACCTTATAGTTTTGTATGTCTTAACAAACATAAACTTTCCAATAAATTCTAAGAACTGGTGAGGTGATATAATTTTCCTTAATATTACAATTTTGCCCATTAATTATTACTGATACTTGTTTTCTTAATGAAGGAAATAATGACTTTAACTTGTAATAACCTGTATTCTAATCTTCGAACACAGTAAGTGAATCCATTTGCATGTATAAAAACGGTGACAGGATTCATAACTTGAACAATTATAGATACTTGACTTTTTTTTTCATGAAACTTCAGTGGCTATCACAGAATTCTGCTCGTTCTTTTTAACACCTAGATTACTGTAAAAATAACAACACTGAGTTCAACCCTTTTTTAACTTACACAAATATAATGCCTTTTCGTATAAGTTTTACCCATTCATTTATTTTCTCTAAATTTATCTATCATATTTAATGTTTATTACTTGTTCCATGCCATATTTTATGTGCACTTCCAATCTGATTAGCATATTTCACTTGCACTACCCACTTTACATGCACTCCTCGTTTGATTACCATATTTCATATGTACTTCAAATATGATTACTAATATTTCATGTGCACTCCTCATTTGATTACCATATTTCATGTGCACTACCTATTTTAATAGCATATTTCATGTACACTTCTCATTTGATTAACATGCTTCACATACACTCCTCATTTGATTACCATATTCCACATACACTACCCATTTCATTACCATATTCCACATACACTACCCATTTGATTACCATATTCCACATACACTCCTCATTTGATTACCATATTTCATGTACACTTTTCATTTGATTACCATATTCCACATACACTACCTATTTCATTACCATATTTCATATGCACTCCTCATTTGATTACCATATTTCATATGCACTCCCAATATGATTACTATATTTCATGTGCACTCCTCATTTGATTACCATATTTCATGTGCACTACCAGTTTTAATAGCATATTTCATGTACACTTCTCATTTGATTACCATATTCCACATACACTACCCATTTGATTAGCGTATTTCACATACACTACCTATTTCATTACCATATTTCATATGCACTCCTCATTTGATTACCATATTTCATATGCACTCCCAATATGATTATTATATTTCATGTGCACTACCAGTTTTAATAGCATATTTCATGTGCACTTCTCATTTGATTAACATACTTCAAGTGCATTGCCCATTTACTTACCATATTTCATACCCATTATCTGTTGTTCTGCCATATTTACTGTAAGTAAACTTCTTAAAATAATAAATCTATTACCAAGTTCTTTGTAGAAGTATAAAGTATTATTTCTTTGATCTCATAATAAAGTGCTGTTAATGTACTTACAATCTATTTTGAGTATTTAAATATTTTACTACTTTTAGATATACCCAATTTTTTAAATTTTACTCATTAAATTTCAACACAATGGGAAGCCACTGATATCCTGCTGTTTATAACTTTTGTTAATTTTTGGGTTCCAAAACAAAACTTCACCACAACAATCCCAAAAACTAACATATAATGAAGAGCTTAATAGATTAATATTACAAACATAAACTAACCAATCACAATACAGGCAGACTGAATCACACAAGTTTGTATATACAAAGACATCAAAATGTATCAAAATCATGCAACCAATTACTTTCTATGTAATTGTAGTTACACCATCCCCCCAAGTTGACTCCTTATAATTTAATATAAAATAGGAAACAAACTATAATGTAGAAAAACCTTTAATCTTACCCCCTTGTTTTTCTCTGACACCACAAAAGTAAAGCGTCTTTTGCAGATTTCTTCTCACTACTTTCGTCAGTTTCATCCTATTACAAGTATAATATATAAATAAAAATATCTTGCCACTATTCTTCATAATTCCAAATATAAACAAATGTTAAATTGTGAATATACACCTAAGTATCAGTGCATTAGTAAATACTCTTAAAAATATTATCCTCAAAGACAAGTTACTTTTAACTGTCAGTTGGACAACCACATTCACTCTGTCTTCACTAAAAAATGTTCTCAGTTGACTGATATTGTTTAAAATACATCTAGTTTTTACAATACATTATGAGTAATAATATGTACATAGTCTACAATGTACAAAAAGTCAAATGAATATCCTAGTTTACAAATGTTTAAAATATGTATTTTTAACACTACCTGGTGTTATATTTTTCTTAACATCTTAAACTCCAACAACGTTTTACAGACATTCAATCTTTGCTATGGAAGCTCAGTATAAACTATAGATTTTAAACATGAAATCAATAGTTTTAATTTCCAGGTTAAATCAAGTAAAAAAAGCACAACTATCATAGGATGGTGCATGAAAAGTTTGGTTCTTCAAATAACTATGTTGATCTTTTTTTTTCGTTTTTTTTTGTCTTTAAGAATAATAACAATATTTCGATAGTCTGAGAAAAACAATAATCAAGGAACAAAAATTATATAAAAATATATATAATTCAAGTGGCTCTTTACAAAGTAATAATTTTTTCAAATGAAAAAATCCCCAGTGCTCAATCCACCTAATCATGCGTTTAAGGTGACTGGAAAGTACATGTACTAGGAGGGGAGACAAAATACTAGTTATTATGCTTGCAACCAGCCAGGTGGGTTTTGTAGCACCTGGTGTTGACTGGGAAACCAGTTAAATAAACAAGGAAATTATTGTTAAACTGGGTGAAAACAAATTCATACTTAATGGTTACAGCACTAAATGTTAAGCTACATGTAATCAATTTAGTAGTTTATTCCATTACCACTCTACTTTACTTCAATAAACCGTTTTTCGTCAGTCTGAAAAAAATAATACTATCACGAATTATCTTTAACAAAAAAAAATCAACACGTACTCTCATGATTTTTCTAGCTTCATTTAATTTTAAATCATTGTGCAACAAGTAAATATATTTGTCAAAACTTATTCTAAACATGCAAAAAAATTACTTTTTCTTTATAACAGAAAGTTGCCTAACTTACATGGCCTGTATACTACAGATTGGTTTCGCTTGTAATGTCAGTAAATAATTCTCATTCTGACCTGTATACTACAGATTGGTTTCGCTTGTAATGTCAGTAAATAATTCTAACTCTAATTACAGCACACCAGACTGTGCGAGATGAGATGGTTCCAGTTAATTATCTTGCAACGGAAACGTCATATATTTAAGCCTAATTATATTCTCATAAAGGTAAAATTATTCCCACTTTATCTAAAAAAGTTTTCTTTTGAATAAATAGATAGATATAAAAAATTAATACTCACGACATCAATTTGAATTTCTTGAATTTGAAAACGAAGAATTATCGTCCATATTAGACCAAGAATTAATCGTGGATTACCATCTACGATATCCTCCGCTCCTATACTTTCTAGTCGTACCTGAAGAAAAAATAACACAACATTTAAACGTCAAAGTGACTCGAGAAAAAGAACTGACGCTTTAAAAGGGCAGATCTTTCGTCATCATAAATATTACATCTATGACTTTTTAAGTAATTGTTTTGTTTTTTAAATCTCAGGAATGATGATCTTAGAATACTTCTCAGTCCATTCAACAGGTTTAATTAAGTAAAACAAAATTTTGTAAGCAATATGAAAATATTTTTGGCAGACTTATGATCTCGAACCCATACAAATTATACAATAAACATAATTAAAGTTAAAACCAATCAAAAAATTATATAGTTTATGGGTTTTTGTTTATTTTTCAGATTAAATATTGCTTACGAATGAAGGTAAACATATGAATATTCGAAAGGACTCGGTGACAATGAATCATTAGTAAACAAAGGGAAAATTCTACCTAAATTTATTTTTAAGTGAATTTTTTTTATTTGCAGTCTATGGGCATGTAAGTGATAAAAGATATCATTGTTTAAAATAAATTTAAATTTTCTGAGCATTGCCAATAAATAGGACTAACACATTTTAAATTGTTACAGTTGGAATAGTTTTCCTCGTGATCGGCACGTTTGATGTTTTCTTTTTTTGTTTGTTTTATTATTATGGCTACAAAAACTAAATATTTCTGATGTACATAGCAGAAAACTTAGCTTTCAGATCAAAACGTTTTGTTAAAGCTAATAAAAACGCTTTACTAGCGTTTACTTAAAAATACGAAAAGTCAAAAGTCCGTCAGCCTTTGGCTGCTGACTTATAGCTCGTGAAGCGAACAAACTACCGAAGCCAATAATTACGTAAATTACGATAATTTTGCACGTGGCAATGTTTTGCCTTAGGCTAGTGGTCGGAATGGAAGTCTCTCAAGGTTAAAATGTCTGATAGGCTGGTAGGGCGTTACAATGGTGTTGCTTAGAGCGTTAAGAAATATATGTAAATTTTTAATACGCTTGCAACCTATCTACATAACGGCAAATCTAATCACGAACTTTCACAGAGCGGCTTTTACTATTGCTTTGGTACCACCTCGCTCATGCAACTTTTTCAACCTACAGTACCGCCCTCTATCGTTATACACTGATGTTCCGATATAAATCACATATCAATTTTCTTTAGTCTTCGTACTATTTGGAACAGTTGTTTTCCACACCTCTATTTTACTCGGATACACTTTTATAGTTTCGATCCAGATCTGTATCATTAAGTTTGTACTCAAATGAAAAATTCTGGTTGAATGTATAATAGTTCCCTGCAAAGTTAGGGTTAACGGTAATTGCAGGAAGTACAACTACTGTCTAAAAGCTGGACAATCAATTTCGACCCGGTTTTTCAACTTTGCACTACTCATGCGTTATACATGCATTCCACGTAAGCGCGTGCCAACGTACCCAAATACCAGATGGCGTCAATGAAAACCTGCACTTCTTACCCTACCGTAAACGAACTCCTGGCTAGGTTGAAAAAATTGTTTTAATATTATAATGAATAAGGCATACAGTTAAAAGTAGTAAGCAAACGATTTGGAGGGTTATTTCCGTTATAACATACAGCACAAAATGAAGAAGTTTCATCTTTAAATTTATAGATTATGCACCAAAACTTAATTTACAATAAGACGCTCGTTCTTAGTCACATGGCATTTCTAACAGAATAATCAAATGGCTTTTTGTTTTATAAACAGAAGATAAAGAGGCAAAAATTTTCATAATTTACTTGTATAAAACAATTATGGGACCTTTAACGATTTAACTGTATTATTCCTGAAGAATGGTCAACTATTCGAAAGCTGTCGAGTTTCTGATCTTTTAAAATCTTATCGATTTGTGTGTGTCTGATCCTTTTTGTTAACCCTGCCATCTTGGACGAGTTAGTTTAAGTAAGGCAGTAACGGCACATTTACATTATAAAGCACGCGTATACAGATATGATGGGAAATCATGTTACCTGCAATAACTGATCGATTGTCACAGCTGAAGTTATTTTACTCGAAATTCCTAAGATAATTCTGATAAAGACTGCTGAGAATCAAAACGGCAGGCTTCAAAGTATTATGGAACTACAGAGATTTATTACGAAAATTATAAAGTCACGACGACACACGCAGTAGTTACTATCAATTTCTGGTAGACACGTCTGTACTGGAGAGGGGAAGCGTTTCGCATGGGTCATTTATTAATTAATTGATATTTTATAAATTTACCTGAAACCAACAAACTGTTACGACAGCGGAAATCACGTGACGCTGGTAACACGTGATGAGTTTCTAGAAGGATCGGGGAACATCACGAATAATCCAGTATTTGCTAGACGCCCTCTATTCCTGTATATAAGCGCGCCAGATAAAGCAAAACAATCAATCGGAAGAGAATAATTGCAAATTGAAGAGATAGAGACAGATAATCGTGTCATGTCGTAAGTAAAGTGCGTGAGTCGTTGTGAATTATAGCGTGTGTTTGAGTAAAGTGACTGTGGAAATTCTGTGTATTGCAAAGTTGTATTGAGAAAGAATAAACTAGTTTTATTTAAGAAAAGACTTGTATCGCTGAAGTTCTTCGGGAAGAAATTTTACGGGAAATTAACAAACGAACAGAGACGTAAAAAAACTTTAGAATCAAGTGGTGGCAAGATTGTCATGATTCCCAAGATTCAGACATGAATTTTAAAATGGAGTAGAATCTCTGGATGTACTCTAGTAACACCTATAGTATTAAAACTGGTAAATTATCCAGCATCTTACGACCAATATAAAAATCAAACGTTGTCGAACTTAAATATGATCATAAGTCATTTTTTAACCAACAGCTCAATATCAATCCCTAGTTTGAGTTTTGTTCAACATAGTTCCTGAAAGTTCTATTCTCTCTATATATAAAAGTCATTACCTTGGTATGTAGAAAAGCTAAGGCTTTATTAACGTTCTCGATCTTGTGTACCCTCATCTTCCCACTGTTAGGTTTAGCCAGCTTCTCCCCGGAGATTATCTCCAGGAGCTTCAGCAACTTTCTTCCGTCTCCCAAGTCTGTGAACAGATCTTTTACTTCTACACGGGCCTAGAATAAAGTATTTACAAAATGAAGCGATATTTATCATATAAGAAATACAAAAGCGATATTGCGAACATAAACCAAATCAACTTACCTAACGCTTGATTGTGTTTTGTTTTTGGCGTTATAAGCCCTGACTTACCGTTGAGCCACTGGACTTTGCATACAGTATATAAAAGAGATAAGATTCTTATTTCAGTATTTTCGTTGTTTCGTAATAAGTACAAAAAAAAATTCATAAATGATACTAAACTTTACACTTAATTACAATAGATATGCTCGCTCGATCGACGACAATTTCTGAAATACTAGGGATAAAAATGGGATATCTATAGGTCATATTCATGTATTTTGAATGTCATTTAAAACTACACTTACACAACGAAATTATACGTTGGTATCGTTAAAAACGTTAGTGAATTTCAAAGATTTGTAATCAGACGAATAAAAATCTGAAAGAAAAATCATATAAAATTCATAACTTTATATTTTATTTTTAAAAACAGACACGACCTTCTTCACGGACCTACTTGTTTACTGTTAAATAAATTTATTTTAAGATGTGTTAATCCCTACGGCGCCTGTTGTTATTGGATTCATCTGGTTGACGTGTTACTCTCTATGGTTCCTGTTGCTAGTGGATTCATCTGGTTGACGTGTTACTCTCTATGGTTCCTGTTGCTAGTGGATTCTCATGGTTGACGTATCACTCTCTATGGTTCCTGTTGCTAGTGG